GGGGATATTGATGAACTGATGCGCTGTGGCTGATGAGTCAACATGGCCTGATCCACGGAACGATGTCGGGAGTCTTCGATCGACTAAGCTGAATGCCAGAATCGATCGAGCCCTCCAATCGGTGTGTTGGCACTGCAATATTGATTAACGTCTTTGTCGGGATGCTAATTGGCGCATCGGGAGGAAGGACACCTCTATCGATCGGGATGGCCTCGCTTCGGACGTTGCTACTTTCCTGCACAGAAGACCCCGTCGGGTCGTTACCGACTGTGACCCCTCGACAAGTAAGTCAATGTGGGGTTCTGCTTTCTGCCTATTTTTTTTCTCCCCTCGGCCGGATGCCGACCAGAGGCTTTTATACTACTGTACGAGGGTCGATCGTACGTGAGTTTGGCGCGACGACCGATCCTTGAGGGATGAGATGGTACCTTTGTGCGATCGTAGTCCCGGGACGTGCGAAACGACGTCATGCGACGTCGTCCCGAGCTTACCGAGACGAGACATACCGAGTGACGTTTTTGTACGGTTGCTGGCTCAGCGCGTGGGGATGCTTCTCTTGCTGACTTGGTTGTGACGTGCCGTGGGACCCTTGAAGGGGCGAGAGGCGTGCCTGGGTTGGAATGCCACGATTGTGTTGATTGCTTGCGGGGGAAGCTGGATTGGCTTGTCGTGAGGCAGTTCAAGGGCAGCACCCCGTGCTTTGGGAATGATTTTGCGTTGTCGGTCGGGTGGTTGGGCTCGTGCAGGATGATGTTGGTGAGCCGCTGGTCGGGAGACCGAACCGTGTGAGTTGGGAGGAGATGGCCTTTTGGTCGAGTAACTGATCTCGGATTTATGTTTGGTGCAGATGAGTCGTAAGTCGGGAACCGATCTGAAGCAGCGACTCGTAGATCATAGATAAGAGTAAATCATCTCGGAAAAACTCTGAAATATTTAGTTCAAATAAACAATATAATCATGAGCATATTTAAGAAATGCATCATCCTCGTCGTAAAACTTTGAACCTATAAGGATATATGCTTGTATGAAGTAGCTCGTGAATCGCTCATATGTGACACCTGAAAATGCTCATAAGTGAAGGAAAATCATGATTTATGTATCCGACAAAAAAGGTGAAATAAAACTCAAACATGTAGGCCCAGGATTAGTGTACTTTACTATGCTGTCGTTAATATAGGATTCATTGGCTCAAGCTGTTGCTGATGAGATGCAAAAAAATCTACAAAAAAGAGTTGGGACCTCAACCAGTGCCCATTACAGTTCCTGGTGAAGTAGTAGCAGAAGATGATGCGAGCAAGAGTATCTCCTTTTTGTCTTCTTAATGGTTATTTTTGTGAGAATGAGATGTTTTGACAATATATCTATTGATCTCATGCAATAAACTGATTATTATTATTATTATTTTTAATTTATTCTTTGCCCTTCTTGCTGGCATTTGAAGAGTTGAAATAATAATTAGCAGCAGTATCTTTATTTTGCGCTCATGCCACAAAAGAAAAACACTTCATTTCTGTTTTGTTAACATCTAGAACCCGTACGTAATATTCAATTTGAATGTGCTTTCACAATAATTACTGCTGCTGATTACATATTTAAAATGTAAATGTAATACTTTAATTTTATCACCTTTTTCAGAAATATTTTCTAGAGGCAGATAGATGATGGAAATGAAAGTGAGATAGAAGAAGAAACAGACAGCGTCACCAATGAGTTTGCTTTCTCGAATCCTTTCTTTTTCTTGTAGTAAGTCATCTGTATAGAGGTTTTTCCCATAGTAGATGTAAAGTCGGGAAGTTTTAATCTATTGCAACCCAACCTATGAAGCACAGAAGGACACGGGATACGACATGATGCTGGAGCTCATTAATGTTGTAGTCATGATGCTGCTATCTCTGTGTTGCTAATGAACATCTAATTTGCATGTTGGCCTTAAAACCAAATGGATTTTTTTGTAATGAAGAACACTGCAAGTTGCTGTTAGTCCATACAAACAACTAGTAGAATAATATGTTAACAATTTAACTACTAAAAAAATACATTAATTTACCTACTAGAATAATCAGCAATAAAAAAACCTAGATTAGCAGTAAAAAAAATTCAGATTAAAAACATAGACTAAAAGACAAAAAAATAAAAATAGGTAAATTAATTTACCTTCGTTGGACGTCGGGCACCACTAAGGAAGATGTTTCGTCGGACGCTGGTGAAATCGTCGAGGGCTCGAGGGGTGCTCCAT